GTCGACGGCAATTCTCCACTTGTCGAGGACGTTCGAGGGAGCAGCCGGAATCTGCCTCGCATACATGCTTGCGTCATCCTTCGGCATGCCGAGCTTATGGATGACCGCATCTCGCAGTTGAGGCTCAGAGATCCGATGCGTGATTTGGATGCAACCGCCCAAGAAACCCATGTCGTTGGCGACCACGTCGGCCATATCAGACGAGTAAACCATTAAGGCTAGTATCTCTTTCCGGCATGACTTCACCAAGTCCTCCATGCTCTCCACCGAAGCCGTATACTTCACGCGCGCATCATACATGATACGGCGCACAAGCACCATGCGATATCGCATGCAACAAACATGAAGATTGGTTTGACCCAAAATGGCTTCGGATCGTGCGAGCGCCTTCCTGCCCCTCCTCCTTCCTCTGTTCCCTCCTGTACAGTAGGGGCGACGGGCCCGAAACGAACGATGTTGCGAACGTTAAACCACATGTTGGAAAACCTTGCGTCCGCGAATTAAGGATAGACTGCTTCCGCGAATTAACTAAGGACCAACATTGCTATTTAGAGGAGATTGGGTCCTCAAGGCTCTCTTCTCTGAGCCCTCATCTCTTCCACGAGTCCTCGAGGTGTCACAAGTTGTCCATCGGCGTCAATGCTCTGCGTTCCCCGGAGGAGCCCGCCCTCCTCAAGAGGCTCGCCACTTCGCCTCGGGGTTGTGGATGCCACGACAACGGACACCCTAACATTCCGATCATGGAATTCAGAATGTGTTTAACATGTAAGAAAATGTTTTAAACACGTTTCAAACATGTTTTTACATGTTTAAAATATGTTTTAGACATCTAGAGATCATTTGGCAACATGCTTCCTCTCCACTGATCGTCCTCCACAGCTTCAGGGGCACCCGATATCCCGAACTCCTCCTCGGGGCGAAAGCGCACAGCTGGCGCAAGTGCCGCACCTGGCGCTCCGGGGCCTCCAGGGCAGGGCTGGACCTAAATGGTGTTTTTGGTGATTTCGTGGGCCGTTTTCGTTTCGACTTCGTTTTGCGGTAAAGGCGGATTCGAGGCAAAAAAAAGACAAACGAAAACAAACGAAAAACACTGTGTAGGTTCAGCCCTGCTCCAGGGAGGCCCGGCGCACGCCTGGAACGGACCCGTGGCGCGCACGGCGTGCGTGGCACCCTCGGGCGAACTGCTGCCACTCGAGGGTCGCTTCCGTGTTTGGGGGGGGTGGCGCACCTGGCGCGGCCGGAGCACGTGGCACGGCTGGCGCACGCGGAGCCTGTGCCGCACCCAGCGCTCCGGGGCTTCCAAGGTGCCTGGTGCACGCCTGGAACAGTCGGACGTCCGCAAATGGGTACGGAAAAGATGGGTACAGTACCCAACAACAAGTGTTGCCCCACACCAGCAGCGGCCGCTGCTGGGCAGGCGGCCTTCTGTATCAAATGTACACGGGCCGGGGCGACACCGACAGCGAGTCCTGTTCAAAATGAGCAGGAACTGCTGTTGGGCTTTGTACCCATTCTCGTCGTACCCATTTCGGGCGTCCAGATTGAACACTTGGCGCGCACGGCATGCGTGGCGTTCTCAGGCGAGCTGCTGCCACTCGAGGGTCGCTTCTGTGTTTGGGGGGGGCTGTGTTTTGGGGGGGGCGGGTGGGAGTGAGCTACACGGCCGGCTGTCTGGGAGGGTAGCTTGACCCATGCCCCTACCCCCTGCCCATTGACCTGGACGGGGGGGGTCGCGAGGGGGTCAGAGCGGCCGAGATGGCCTCGGCGAGGAAGCCCAAATGGGAGTTGCGCGAGGCGTCTATTATAGAATCTCGGTGGAGCACGAGGCTCCCATGACTCGTTGCCGAAGCAGCCGCAGTCCAGGGGCGGTCCGAGGCATGCCGCCCTCAGGCCACGGCTGCCCGAGCGCAGATCCTCGCGCCTTCCGCGATCGAGGCGGAGAGGTGGCGACGGCGGATCTGCAATGTCCAGCTCGACCGAGGAACAGGAGAGATGGACGCAGGGCGCGGGGGTGCACCGTGCCCGTGTCGGTGGCAAACTGGGCAAAGGTCCCCGCCCCAGCGATCGACCGGGGGATCCTCGACTGGGGCACGGGGTCAAGAAGCCTGTGCTCGACAGGGACACCGAGTCATGAGGGGCGCGGAGGAGGAGGAGGAGGAGGAGGAGGAGGAGGAGGAGGAGAGCAGAGAGAGAGAGAGAGAGAGAAAACGAGAGAGTGAGACAGAGGGGGGGGGAGGGCCAAGCTTGGTGGTGCGCTCGCGCCACATGTCATCCTACCCGGCCGACTCATCCCTTCCCGTGGCGCTGATTTTGTCTTTATCCGCCGACGCCTGCCACAGTGGTCCTGGAGTTCCAGAGAGGACCATCGCGTCATGCGCAAGGGGGGCACAGGGGATCCCCCCCCTCGGCAGGCCGCGAGGGCGAGCGCGGCGTCCTCCTTCGCGTGCTCCTTCTTGGCGTGCAGGCGCCTGATCTGCTCGACGAGGTCGGCCTTCTTAGCCTCAGGGGGGGGGCGGCAAGGGCCAGCCCAGGACCGCTCGAGGACATCCCTCCTGTTCCTCCTCCTCCTCCTCCTCCTCCTCCTCCTCCTCCTCCTCCTCCTCCGCTCCTCTCCTCCTCCTCCTCTCCTCCTCCTCCTCCTCCTCCTCCTCCTCCCCCTCGTCCTCCTCGTCCTCCTCCTCCTCCTCCTCCTCATCCTCCTCTCCTCCTCCGTCGCCGCCGCCGCCGCCGCTGCCGCCTCATCCGCCTCCTCCTTGGCCCCAAGACGACCCAGGTCGGCCCAACATGGGCTCAAGACGGCTGGAAGACCCTACTGGACGGCCCTACGAAGCCCCTGGAGCTCCTGAGGACTGCCTCAGGGCACCCGATTTGCAATGACCGTTCCAAGATACTCTGGGGCTCTCAGATGACCTCCAGGGTGCCTCGCGCACTAACCTCTTGCATGCTAGGGTCAAGCCCACAGCCATACTTGTTTGTCGAACTCTTTCGTTTCGCATGGTTACTGCCCCAAGACGGCCTTCCAAGAGCATCCCAGAGGGCCCCCAAACAGGCCCAAAGCGCCCGACGCCCATTCCGAGACGGCCCCAAGGTGACCGAACCCGGCGCCGAAACACACTGTTACATGTTCAAGTACAGCAGCTCCAGCGCCCGCGACAAATCGATCAGTCAGGCTGCGCCTACCAGAGCTTCGAAGCGATCGCGCATGAATCAGACAGCACCTGTCTTAGACTGGATGCCTCGAATTGCGCTGTTGGCTTCTAAACTTCCGCCCCTTAAAAAGCAAGCCACCACAATTAGAAGATACATGTACGCAGAAGCATAACATCCGCCACCCTGACGCTGGGCACGGAGTGGGCGTGTCCTCGGGTCCTTTGCCCAATTCTCTAGGCCTCAATCCTTACTCCTGAGGTGTCTTGAAGGGACCCGGACTCCAAACTCTCAATTCTTCTTGGGCATGTCGAGTTTCCCCGCGGCTCGTCGCATGACTTGCTGGGGCCCAAGAAGGCTCCAAGACGGACCAAGAAAGCCCTAAGAGACCCCCAAGAGGGTGAAAAAGAGCTCTGAGTCGCTGAGAAATCGCTCGTAGATGCCCAAGACGGCCCCAAGACGGTACAAGATGCCTCCAAGACACCCCCAGAGGCCTCCACGAGGCCTCCCAAGACGCCAAAGTCATTAATCCCACCAGCCCTCTGGGTGCAGGTGGTCTAACGATGTCGTTCTTTCCTCTTCGAAAAAACCCTTCTTCCCCTTCGGGGAGGGTGTTGTCACTGCTCCCTATTGATGCCCCACCCTCCCCCCGGAGACCAGCGGCCAACCAGGAACCATGCTCCCACCCCCGACCATCCCCGCCAGGAAACCATACAAAACGCACTATGCCTCCAAATGCGGAGCATGCGCAACCAACCCGATGCGGGCCCCCCAACCATCCCTGTCAAAAACAAGACAAAGTACACTTTGGGGCAAAGTCTGGAGTCACGTTCGTGAGGCCCGCGAGCACTTTGCATTGCTTTGTTGACAGGGACGGCGGCAGTGTCGGCAGATTGCCTGCTGCGCGCGGGGCTACCATCCCTGAAACAGCACCATACAAAATGCACCTCGCGGCTAAAGCTGGATGATGCGCGGCCACCCCAAGATTATTGTCAAGTGCTTTTTGACAGGGACGGCGGGGGTGGTGGCGTATGGCCTGCTGTGCGCAAGCCCACGAGACACAGTGGCGGGCATGGGTTTTCGATAAGGATGGTTGGGCCCGACATGTTTCCCGATGTGTGCTGTCACATGCGCAGGCGCACCTGACACACCCTGCACGTACCCCGAACGTGGCGCACCTGGCGTGGCCGGAGTACGCGGCACACCTGGCGGACGCGGAGGCACGCGGCGCCTCTGGCGCACCAGGCGTGCCTGGCACGCTCGGGCCCCCAGGGGTGCCTGGCGCGCGTGGCGCGCCTGGCACGCGTGGCGCACCTCGCCCCAGCGTCGCGCACATGGGCTCGGTTTTGGTTCCCAGTAGCTGCCCATCCAAAGATGACCGCTGAACATGCTGAGATTCGGGTGTTACGTCTGTGTTGGGAGGGCGGGTGGGAGTGAGCTAGACGGCTTGCTATCTGGAGGGTGTCTTGACCCCTCCCCCTACCCCCTCCCCTGGACCTGGACGAGGGTTTCGCGAGCGGTCAGGGCGTCCACTGATATGGCTCTAAGAGGGCCTCAGAGAGCCCAAGATCGTCTCCAATCGCTCAAGATAGTCCAACATGGCTCAAGATAGCTAACAACATGCCTTCAAGAGGCCCCAAGAGGGCCGTAAGACGATTACAGGTGCTTGTGGCGACCCCTCAGGACCTCCCCGCGACGCGCGAAGCCAAACTCCTTCAAAAACATATTGAAAATCATTGATGTGTGACTTCTCGCCGGTTCGCTTCCGATGCGCTTTTGAAGCCTCCAGATGGCCCTAGGATGTCCCAAGAGAGCTCCAAAAAGGGCCTAAGAGGCCCCCAAGACTGCCCCACGAACACCCAAGATCGCCCAAAGAGGGCCCCAAGAGCGCCCCAGAAGGCTATGTCGATGGCCCCGGAGGGGGGAGAGAAATCGAGGACCCCCCTTCCTTTGATCCATGATCTCCAAGATGGTTCCAGGAGGCGTTCCATAGCCCCCAGGAGGACCCCCAAGAGAGCCCCAAGAGAGCCCCAAGAGGGTCCCATGAGGGCCCCAAGGGGCCCCAAACGAGCCCCAAGAGGACCCCAAGACCCCCCAAAGAGCCCAAAGAGGGCCCCAAGATGCCCCAAACGAGCCCCAAGAGGACCCCAAAAACCCCAAATACTTCCCCATAGCTCCAAGAAGGTCTCCGATGCTCCAAGATACCCTCCAAGATGGCTCAACACCCTCCTTCCTTTCCTCTCCTTGCACGCTCTGTTTCACCATGTGTGTCTCTTCGTCCCAGTTCCGTCAGCTCTCATGGACAAGGCCTCTGAATGGGCTGGTGGGGAGTTGTTTTTGGTACGCGGGCTCGCGAAGCAAGTCGAAAGTCGTGCAAGACGGGCGGGCTACGAAAAAACAGCGAGCAGGCGGTGGGGATTCGCTAAGCGTAAACGATTTGTCATAGGCTTCTAGAAAGGATTGTGGCGTTCTCGCCTTTTCGGCTTCCCGACGCTCCGAGACGGCCCACGAGGCCCCCAAGATCGCCCCAAGACGGCACCAGAGGCCCCAAAGAGGGCCCCAAGACTGCCTAAGAGGGCCCCAAGACGGCCCAAGAAACGCCCAAGACGGCCTAAGAGGGCCCACAAACGGCCCCGAAAAGGGGCCCAGATGGGAAACCCGAACGGAACATGTCGAGCAATCGGCTCCGACGGGCCCTCGAGGGGCCCCCAAGAGTTAGGGTTTAGGGTTTAGGGAGCCCCTGGGACCAAATTACAAAAATGCAAGTAAATTGGCATGAGCTTAGACAACCCAAACCTCAAAGGCGGTGTTTAAGGCCAGGCGTTTTGTTTTGGACAAAAGCATACCGCCTTTTTTAAATGCATCTACAGGCCCTGTAGACGCAACATCGGCAATGTTTCAAAAGGCGTGTTTTGGTTTTGGAGTAAGGGTCTCTATAGGGAGGCACGCCTCCAGACCCTTATTCTTTACCCCCCCCATGCTAGCCCCCCCAAGGGGGGCGTCGCGCTGGCCCGCCTCGCGGGACCAGCAGACTTCTTCTTTGAGGGGGGTGCTGATGACGCAGGCAGTCTGTGTCCACCCCCCCTCTCTGCGAGGCCTTCAGCGCACATCCGTGCTCGCCTGACAGGCCTGCGAGTCCTGCTAAGCCTCCCGCTGGTCGTTTACCAACTTCTCGGCCCGACCGCTGCGCGGGGCCTCCCTGGGGGCGGCGACGGGCAAGCCGCCTGTTACTACATGACCCGCAAGGTCCCAAAGAAAAACGTACCGTGTTTCGTTTAAGCACGGTGGACCTATTGGACCTATTTTTTTTAGGCTTGTAGATGCAATATAGGCCAACAGGCGTTGGACCTATCTTGGACCTAATCGGACCTGCCTGGACCTCGAAAACCCAGAACCCTAACCCTGGGCCCATACCCTGGAGGCAGGGCTGGACGGTGAGCCCAGAACCCTAACTGTGGGCCCAAAACCCTAAGGAAACAACCCCCAAATGGGGGACTTTGGGGCACGATTAAGGCCCACATTAGCCACCCGTGGATCCGTGAGAACTCTGACCCACAACCCAGGCACGGTGGCGGGATGAGCCGAAGACCTTTCGATATGATTCAACATTAGCCACTCATATCTCAGCCGCGAAAACGCCTTACAACTCTGAGCACATTCGAGTCTAAAACGCCATGCTTGAGACATGCCAGCGCTAATCATTGCGCTGCCTCCCAGAAGGTGTTCGGCAAAGTAGCAACCGCAGTGTGGCACATGCGCACACAAACACAAACACACACGCACACAAGCACTCTCTCCCAAAGTCCAAACCGTATCGGTTGCCTATAAGCCAGGCCTTAGGCGATCGCTGTGAAGGGCAACGTGGCCGACGGCCAAGGCGTAGTCGGCCTCAAACTCTCTACGTCGTAGTGGTCGTCGTAGTGGGCGTCACGTCGGGTGTTTCCGACGTCGATAGAAGCTAGACGGCCAACGGTGGCTCTTCCCACGGTGGCTCTGCAGGTCGGTGCAGCTGCTGCTTCGCACCAACGGGATCCGTGGTGCCCGCCGCACCTTGCGCTGGCTCGGCCCCAGCATGGGCCACATCCAGTATCTCGTCCGGCGGCTCGTTCGGTCCAGTTCTCCTCCACCTGCTGGGATGGGTGATCATGGCCACAGCCAACCCGTTGTCGTTCACGTGCGTCAGAAAATCGGCAACGACAGGGTGGCATCCGACTACCTGAATCACGATACCGGAAGCAGACATCGAAAAGCAAAGGAACTGAGTGCATGCGAACAAGGAGCTCGGTTGAGTAGGGAACGTGGTGGCGAGACCATCCTCAACGTTGGTGAAATTTCCAACAATGAACCCCATAG